CCCTCTCTCTCACTCTCTTACTCTCTCTCTCTCTCTCTTTCTCTCTCTCTCTCTCTCTGCGTATGCATATACGTATATGTATATTTCTCCTGCCCTTGTCATTGTCTCCGTTTCTTTTTTGTACGAGAGCGAGCGCACGCACGATTTTATAAAGATGCCTTATACGCACTGGTGACGCGGGAGCAATTAATTTTCGCCTCGTACTCGAGTCGGCCTCCATTCCTGTCTCATTCAATTAGCGCGACGTCGAAATCACGCCTCCGAGTCACTCGTATTATAATATCTTGCCCCGTGGGAAGCCGAGATTTTGTATTTCGGATGCTTCCTCCATTCCCCCTCTCGCATTTTTGCATTCTCTTTTCTCCTCGGCGCTCGCGTGCGCTTTTTTTTTTTTTTTTTTTTTTTTTTTTTTTTTTCTTCTTTTTGTCAAAGCCTAGTTTGAAACGCGCGATTTGCAAACCCACTTACGGACGCTGATTTTGTAGGAAATTTAAATTAATTCGATTGAATTCGATATTTTATTAAATTGTGAAAACATAGGCAGAATTTAGGTTATTGGCCGTTTCATTTACATTCAAACCAGCCAATTCTTTTTTACTTTCAGCGAGGAATCAGGTTGAAAATTTTCGATCATTTTAACTGAATATTAATACTCGACAAGCTAAGACTTCGATATAAGTTTTTCCTGTTTTTTTTTTTTTTTTGTTTTGTTTGTTTTTTTTTTTTATGATCATTGAATTAATCAATTGCGCACTTATTTATATGATAATTAATACTTAATAATTATAATATTAAATTGTGGCTATTTAAATTATATTTAAAATCGTTAAGGAATTATTGACGAGAAATTATTATTTTAATATAATATTCGAGCCTCTTGCTAAATTTGCAGTACCAATCATAAAACGTCCATGTATATTATTAATACGCATGTATATTTTTATTTCTGTACAGTTGATTGCGGCGGTGTATTCTGGTAGTATGCTTTGCAGCATTTTCAGAATGCAAATCCAAATAAGTGGCTTAAATTTGCATTTAAGGAACTGAAACGTATGAAATTCTGAAAGAATACGCAACGAACGTTTATTCGTGGTGTAATGCAGTAGTTATCTTAAATACCATTAATGCTCAGTTTCCAAAAAAAAAACTTCCCTATGCGATTGATATAACTGACTCGAGTGATGCATTTTGTAAATAAAAAATGTGCCAACGTAGTTTAATAGCAAAAAAGAGGAGAGAGAGAGAGAGAGAGAGAGAGACGTGACTTTGTAAAGTCGCGGTCAAATTAGTACTTGACGTTCGATTCGCCTGCAAAAGATAATACGCTTCAACGTTAATCGACGTGATAATTTTCGAGCACACGGCATGAGGAGGCAATGGGGCTGATGGCCGACGATAAAGGATCTTGTCATAATGAAGAAGTGAATTCGGCAGGGGCGCAAAACTTCCGAGCCTTCCGACCGCGTCAAACTAATTTCGCGAGTGGAGAAAAGTCGAGGCGCATTAAGCGAGCGCAAAGATGTAATTCGCCGGTTAATACAAAAGTCCTCTTCGGGTGAATATTTCACTTAGTACGGCTCGCCTGCTCGGGGCTTTAATAAAGGAGCGTGGCCCGCCGCGTCAGCTCGCGCCGTCGAGAGGCATTTTACATACTTTAAGGGCCTCCCACATATATTTTTCAGATAGTGAAGGCCCTCCTGCAGACGGAATGCAAGTGCCACGGAGTATCCGGTTCCTGCACCGTGAGAACCTGCTGGCGGACTTTGCCCAGCTTTCGTCAAATCGGCGATGCCCTCATGAAAAAATACTACAGGGCGAGACCAGTTATAGCGATTACACCGCCCCCGCCGCCCACGATACAGGTGACGAGCTTCATCATATCTTCCGCAGTCTTATTTATTTATTTAATGTTTTTTTACTTTATTTAATTTTTTTTTTCCTCTTTATAGAGAAAAGGAGATTGCGCGAGTGTGCGCGCGTTTGCCTTTGGGGGGAGGGAGGGAGGGGGGGGGGGGGGGGGGGGGGGGGGGGGGGGGGGGGTAAGAGGGACGAAAAGAAAGAGGGAGAGAAGGTAAAAAAGAAAAGGAGAGCTAATTTTTCACGCTTCGCGTAGACAGTGATTTGTCACTTCGTCATTTATACGTTGAATAATTTATTCGAATCTTCCAAAGTGCTTGGCCAATTTGACATATTTTCGAGCCAAAAAACCTATCGAAGCCAAAGATTAATAGATACAAATAAAAAGCAAATTCCTATAATTTTTAAATTAACTTTTCTTACAACTGTATTTCATTAAAAAAAAAAAAAAAAAAAAAAAAAAAAAAAATTGTAGATAATTCAACGTATTATTAATGTCGATTAGCGATCAAACGTTGTAATGAGCAATCACGAATAAATGTCGTTTTATAATATAACTTTCAAATGAATATAGTTGAATTGGTATTTCAAATTATTTACGAGCTCTCCTTAAAGTACAATCGACCCAATACGACCTATAAACTATAAAAATTCTCCTCCATTCTATTTTTTCAGATGATAAAGAGCTGCACTCGTTAAGATGCATTGTAAGATTGAGTTGGCTTTAATGTGCTTTAAGAGTGAAGTGCCGTATGTTGTTACGAATTATTTAATCAGAATCTTTAGATGTATATTGAAAATAATAATCATATGCGAAAGAGAACCGAGTAATCGGTTATAAATATATAACGATTTCTTTTGTTGACTCGATATTATTACCAATGATCTTGAGACAAATGCAATTGTCTAGAATTCATAAGTATTTACCGTAGAATTAAAAGGACTTTTTTTTCTTTTTTCTTTTTCATTCGAATAATGTTTTAAACGATACACGAGCAAACAAACAAGAACAAAAAAAAAAAGAAAAAGAAAAAATCACTCGACTTAGAATTTGGCAGACTAAACTTTTCAACGCGTAATACATAGACTATCACGAAAGAATTCTGAACAAATTAAAAATTCGACGATAGTAAGGTTAATAAGATGAAAATAGCTAATACCGGTTATTAATTTATATATTTTTGTTAGAAATTTAAATTTCGTACTTGTACTTCTGCCAGTTTTAATAAACAGCTCCCATACGATAACGATCGCCAACATTTCACGAATACCGCGATATGGAAAAAGAAAAAGGAGAGGAAAAAAAAGGCAAGAAATGCAAAGGTTAACCGCATAATAATACGGAGGATTTCGCGTTGCAAATAAATAATCGGAAAGTAAATCTTAACAAATGCGACGACGACGTACATTGATCACATTGGTGATACACACTGGCAGTGGTGGTCAGACTACAAACAGAGCTGATAATGAAATATAATATATTTTATAAGGTCCGAGGAGTTTATCAGGCATTTATTCGCATATTATCGGGCCATAATTCGTGCTCGACGCGTACAATCGCGTCTGAAAAGCGACGCCAAGTACCAAAAATTCAAGGATCCGGCAGGAGGAAGGGAACGCCGTTTGAAGGTACCGTTACTAAAGCACCACACGCCCCGTTGTTTCAGAGTACGGAGGCGCTGTTACGCTCGTCGGAGGTGTCGCCGATCCTCGGCAACGACGCCAAGACCCAAGGCAACCCGAGCGAGTTCTCGAGGTACGTCGACGAGCGGAACCGCGCCCTCAGGAAGTCGGGGGGCGCCTCGACGATGGCCGGCGGCGTCTCCAAGCAGCCGAGGCGGACGCACCTTGTACTGAAGAGGGTGAAGTTCGGTAACGGGCCCGGCATTAGCCAGAAGCGAATCCCCAAGAGGAGCGAGCTCGTCTTCCTCCAGCCGTCGCCCAATTATTGCGAGCCGGACCTCGTGCAGGGCAGCCTCGGCACTCAGGGCAGATATTGCAACCGCACGAGCAGAGGTACGTTCCGGGTGGAAAATACGACAACTGTGTATCTCTTGTTTTATAGAGTGGCTTTTCATGAAGATGTCAACGATGGTAATTATAATATTACGGGATCGCGCGCTATTTTCTATGTATCGAGCTTCTTTTATGCGTCGGGGCGAGAAAACTAAACGTGATACGCGACATTCCATGGAGGGAATCTCTAGGTTCTGTTAATGGTTCGGCGTCATTGGTAACGTTACGCTTTTATCGAGTAATATCGCGACGCAATGGTAAATTATCCGGCTTTGTAGGGAGGGGCGAGCGGTGAGGGAGGAGGGGCGAGGAGGGGCGAGGTGGGGGATGGGATTGGATGGGGGGTGGGGGGAGGGGATAGGATATTCAAAAGGTTTAATGTCTTCGTTAAAGACGACCGTACGTATGGGAATATAAATTAATTTGAACGACGTGTGCAAATGCTAGGTATACTTAATCAACAATAACAGATACTTCATAATTCCCGTGCAATTCATTATTTGTGTAAAACAAAATTATTTGCACTTAATTTCATAAATGCTCTCGTCGTTACATGCATAATTTTTTAAGCCAATTGCAGTTATCGTGACTATAAAACGATCGTATACAAATATATCACCTTATCGTATAATCTTATGGCTTTATATTAAATATTAGCGATGCGTGTAACTGTCGGCCGTGTCAAATTATTTAATTAAATAAATCTCACTTTATGAATTCCCAGTCTCATTATCATATTCCAAATGCACAATTTTAATATTTCAATTTAGTCCTTGTATTTGCATCGGTAAAGCAAATAAAATGCAAACCAACATTGACCGGTACAATTCATCTTGTGTACTTCTCACATCGTAAATTGGCAAGGACGAACCGTGTAAGCAACACTTGAGATTACGCTGTATAACAGTTTAACAATATTAATCCGGACAAAGATAACCGAGGCCAAAGGAGATTATAGGAAATGGAGGGATTCTCCTCTATACGGCCCACGCCGTGCGCGCCACGTAAATAAAGGAGGGTGGGGGGGATGGAGGGAGGGAGGGCGGGGGGGGGGAGGAAAAAAGAAAAAAATGAATATAAAGTAACGAGAAGCACTGGAAATCAATGCCGCGCTACTCTCATTGGTCGACTTGTTTCGAGCGCACATAAATTTCAGCGAAAACCGAGCAACGGACCCCATTGACTCTCGATAATACAAACTCGCCGCGGTACGATCGGGGCCCGGGGCTGTCTTTTCTTTTTCTCTGTCTCTCGACGTCCCTTGCATTTATTTTGCTTATTTTGTCTTTCGCGTGTCTTTAGCCCCGTCCCACTCCCCCTCACTCCTCCGTCACATCCCGTCCACGCAACGACGTCGCAACGAGCTTTTTCTTAATACGGAAAACAAATAACTTGGGATTTCAATTATACCCAAGCGATTTAAAGTAGGATGTCGAGCCGATGCTCGTGGCTCCGAGAATAATCGACTATCTTCTACTTTAACGAACGACTTTGTTCCATTTTCTCACGAATTTTAATTGCCCACCTTATGAGCTTGTTCGTAATTTCAAAGTGTGCGTACGCGAACGCAGATCAAGCTCCCTTTACGCTATTATGACTTGAAATTAAATAGGCTACGCCAAAATAACTTGAATTTATGTGAATGTTATTTTAATGAAAATCAATGTCGTATTGATTATTTTTAACGCCGCCTTAAAGGCTACATACAACGCGTCATCTCTCTCGCTCATTTTTACGCAAAGTAATTACTTTGTAATATAAAACATAACGTCGCGTAAGTCAACTGCTATAACCCATGCTATAGACACAAAAAATAAACGTATAAATAATGCAGTAACATTGTCGATAATAATAACAATTAATAATTATTAATAAATAATATATAATAAATCATGATAATGATATAAGCCAATGAATGTAGTAAGATCGATAAGAGTTGGTAGGCCAATAAATACGTAAGCAGTAAAGGTACAAAGCCAAGGTACACCCAACAACGCTGCGCCTTTAAAGCGCGCGCATACGATTCAACATCTCGAGAGATAGAGAGATAGAGAGAGAGAGAGATAGAGAGAGAGAGAGAGAGAGAGAGAGAGATATAGAGAGAGAGAGAGAGAGAGAGAGAGAGAGAGAGAGAGCTGAATGAATCGAGGCAATTGTTGGGAAGGGATATTCACGGCCAATGTTGCATCGCGAGAGCTCGGCACTCTTATCTCCCCGCTTACATTCTAATGTGCTGCTTTTCTCCGTTTGTGCCGACAGGTACGGACGGCTGCGACCTGATGTGCTGCGGCCGAGGCTACAACACCCACCAGTTCACGCGCTCCTGGCAATGCGGCTGCAAGTTTCACTGGTGTTGCAAAGTGCACTGCGAAACGTGCACCGAACGCACCGAGGAATACACCTGCAAATGAGCCTGTATCGGCCCGTCCCACCCCACCCAACCGCCGTCGCCGCTGCCGCCGCTATCATCGTCAACACCGACGTTTCTCGCATCCCGACTGTTGTAGGTTTAAGCTGGCACGCAGGCAGGCACGCGACCACATTTTTATTCCTTTACGAGAAAGTATTATGCTGCACGTATTGATGGACACTGCGGATATTGGCGGAGCGTCGGGTTAATAAAGCATTGGTGATATCGCTGACGAGAGCGGAATAACGAGGAGCCAAATTAGGGATTGTCATTGGCAGGCGTAAAAAGGACGAGCCGCCGCGTTTAAGCATGAGGTACACTGATCATTGAATTAAGGTCACAGTGGTCTCGTCGGTCGTTCGGGGCGCGCGTTAGGAAGGAAAAGCCGCGAGGTCCTTTCCCATGCCCCGCCACGTGTCCATGGAATCCATCGAAATTATTGCCGACCGATAACTTATTTGAGAAAAAATTTGGCCCCACCCCGCCCATTGTACGCCGAGGTGTTATTAACACGGAATTACGGCTGCGTTTAAGTAATGCGCGCTCAATTGATTTATAAAATACGACCGCTCGCTGTCTCTTTGTGCGTTATGCCACTTACTTGTTTGCAAAAAGGCATATTTAATTAGAGTTCAAAGCCGCATGTTCGCATTAACACTAGACTGTGCATTAAATGATAATGATTGTGCCGACGGTGTGATTACTTATAGTATGTACAAATATTTAATCGAAGCCCGATACATTTTTATGTGTTTATGTGTGTGCTTATGTGTGTGTGTGCGCGTGTGTGTTTATATGTGTGCGTGCGTGCGTGCGTGCGCTTTTGCGTGTTTTTGTAAATGGATTGAGCATATGGAAAGACGACTATTAATATACATCGAAAGACTTGATTAACGAATGAGATGTTAGTAAGTGATTGGATTGATAAGAATTAGAATAACGTTTCACTTGTCACTTGCTGCACGAATTGAATGTTTGGTTACTAAAAGCTTTTATTAGCTTAAAATAGAAATCTAAGGAAAGGGACGAAAATTTCATCATGATTATTATTACTTTATCGATGATAAATTTTACACATTGGCATTTCTAGCGAAATATTTAATCAATGTTTTAATGTAATCGTATACTAATATAGTCATAAGAGTCCATTGTTTGAATAAAATCATGACACTCCGATTTTTCTAGTTTTTTTTTTCTTCTTTTTTTTCATATTAGAATGAGTCGTATAAATTGATGCACAAATAGTTATTTTGTAAATACGTGTACGTTACGTGCACATATAAGATGATGTTGAAGTCATAAAAACGATAACTCAGCAAAAGATTCTCTTAATGATAAAATAAGAATCTAAATATTTCGTTCGTTGAACTAATTTAGTCAAGTAAATTTATTTTATTTTAACGAAAATGAGCTTGTAATATGAATTTTGCTATTAAACAGCGATTTTTGTCTTCTCTATGCTTAAAGTTATTATGGAGTTATAATTGTAGCAATTGCAAAATTTATTTTTTTATTATTGGGATTTTAACATCGTCTCACCTACGAAATACTCGTAAACATTTGATCCGTCGCATTATCATTTCCTATGTAACAATACACCTGGCCGTATGAGAAATAGACAAAATAATTAATTCCTGTCAATTATTTTCATTCGACATGAAGGATATCTTTGCGATAGGATGACAAATTTGTAAAATGAACATGAAACGCCATGTAAAATTATTTCCTATGCGTCAATTTTCTTATATTTAATAATCTTATTTGTATATAACCGAGCACCAAGCACTCTTTTCCCGTTATTAACAATGATCCTATCCTTATCGCCAAACGCTATTATTTCCTTCATCGATATTATGAATAAGTACCCGCTGTATATTGCATTTTGTAACTGCCGTTTTGTAAAAACATGTAAGAAAGCATAACGATGCAGTGGTGCCGCAGTGGCACATACTACTACCACGACGTGCGACCATTATACGCGATTGAGATACGATCGCATGGTGTATCCAATATCCCGGTATCTGATTACGCGACCCATTGATGGATCTCTTGCTGTAGGAGTGTCAAGCGAGGTTAGTTCGCCGAACTAAGGAACGTGAGATTGAGACATCACCGCAGCGACGGTTGAGAACTTAAATGCAAATGTAATACTGTATATTTTGCGACTTTTGTTAATATTTTTCAATTTTCGTAATTGATACTTGTATAAAACAAAACAAAAAAAGTATATATATATATATATATATACATAGCATCAAACACTTTCAATAATAATTAGTTGATAAGACAACGAGATGTAAAAATTCACCTACGTGCCACGTGCCTTTTCGAAAAATTTAACGATAAACGATTAAATTATTTAGCCTCGGATTTTGTCTATAATAAAATAATTTATCAAGCCTATTGTAAAGTGCCTGTAATTTGTCTGTCAAAACCTTGAAAAATTCGAAAATCAATAGGAACGTTTTTCCACGAAGAATATCCGAGGGTACAAATCTTCGACTCCTTACATGTTCAATTAAGCATAAATGTAATAACAGGCATTTCGTTACCTTCTGAACTGACCAAACCACACCCCTTTCAAATTACATTTTACCTCGGAATTCAGAGAATCCCTAGGGCCTGCTTCTGCAGCTCATTTGCGCATAGAAAGAAGGGGGAGTATCGAGAGTAATAAATATGGAGCGATTCAACGTCAATCACTAGTTCTTATATGCTCACTTTGTAAAAATCTGTCGTTTGAAGAAGTTGCCCTGTCTCGTTAGATTACCAACTTTGCATTGCGGTACGTACGTACGTAATAATAATAATAATAATAATAATAATAATAATAATAATAATAATCATCATCATCATCATCATCATCATCATCAATTTCTTTATTTACATTCTTTTTGTTCGTCTTAAATTATAATGTCTTATGTGTTTGCCTTTCAATCATAGCTACGTTATACCTTCTTTCCATTCTTTGCTTTGAATATTATGAATTTGTTTTGACTATTTTTATGATAAATTAAAGCTTGAATGAAATTTCACATATTTCACATTTGAACGAAAATAATGAAAAATGTATTTGGATGGGCAAATATATAAATAATTGTCATGGTAACATTATTATGTTATTGATAAAATTTCATCGCAATTATTTAAAGACAAGTATTCCAAATAAAATAAGTTTCAAAAAATTTTTTATAATTCGACGGATTGGTTTTTTTTTTTTTGTTTGTTTTTGTTTTCATGACTAACGACAAAATTTATTACACACAGCAGTTGTAGTTACGCTTATATTTATTATTAATAAAAATAATTTATACTTATAAAATAATGTCATGTATAACTCGATGTATTAAAAAAAAAAAAAAAAGTTGAAAAGACAAGTAAGTAAATTGTACGAAACAGTTACGTGAACGTTCTTATTACATTAGGAAAATCATTTTTACACGTCCTGTTGAGCTGAAAATCAAATTCATGCCTATCCCTTCGTCATCGAATCAGATGTCAGGTTTACTTCGAATGAGATACAACTTCCTCTGGAACGATTTGGAAATAATTCGAATTTTCCTCCCGGAGTTGGAAAATGCACTAAATCAATATCCCGAGGGGCTTTTACCTCAGCCCGCAAATGAACAAGATTTGTCAACGAATCCTATACCCAATCAGTCTGTTACTAATGAGGAAGACGAGGAGGATGTCGAGAGATAGATGTCTGATCCTCTCTTATCAAATTTATTATTATACATACTCTACTATTCTGGACAGAAAAATGTATAAAATAAAAGACTTGTGTATGAATATAATTTATTTGGATTATGTGCAGTACTTTTAAAGTATCATTCTACGATGAATATTTTAAGATGGCTTTTTCAGAAAAGATTTTGTTTAATATTACGAAACTTTCAATTGTTTAGAAAATTAGATATTTACTATTGATATTCAATTAGAAAATGTGAATAAAGTTCAAAACTGCATGCCCGTAAGAAATCAATATATATATATATATATACATATATACATATACATATATACATATACATATATACATATGCATATGCATATACATATACATATATATTGGTTTCTAGAACATAAGTAAATAGTAAGAAATAAATAATAGTAATTAGATTATAAATAAGTGTATAAAATATAAATTTTCTTTGCATCAAATTTATCCTACATACTCAATAATTAACAATTATTTTAATTATTATGTAACACCAAAAACATTAAAAATAAATTCCAAATAATGTTGTAAAATTTAAATAAATTATATTGAATATTTCAAAGACAGTTTAAACACAGCATTTTTCAATTCTTTCATAGATATTTAAAACGCTATTGAATTATTCATGTAGAAAGAAATGGTAATTATAAAAAAAATATAATATTATATGAAAATATTGTTCTTATGAAATCCTTGAGAAAAGTAACTAAGAGTGGAATTAATGATAATATTAATATGTTTTGCAGACATAAGCTTCACAAAATTATAACGTTAAAAAATTATCTCAATTTTCATCGATTGTAATTGTTTATATATGAATAAATAGATTTTATAAATCAATTCAATGTAAATTATGTGATATTTTAATGTATTCGCAACCCAAAGAATTCTTTTCTTCAATTTGATAGTTTATTTAATATACTTACATCATAAACTGTTCAAAAGCCTTATTGCCTCTTGCTTTGCAGTTTGATCATCATCGTTTTTAGCTGGATATTGCGAAGCCATTTTCAAATACTTTAATGCATCCTCTTTTTTATTCAGTTTCAAACATGTTTTTCCAATCATTAAAAGATTATCGCTATAGAAGTTTGGATCAACGTTCTCAGCTTGTTCAAAATATCGTAGAGCCTCCTCGAATGGACAAGTTGGTGGCTCGGTAAATATTGTCGATGCTATTTTTCTTTGATACCAAGCTAAATCTGCTAGTTGATAACACCAAATACCTATCATATATAGCGTTGTCGCATCTCCAGGATTTAATTCAGATGCTCTCTAAAACGTTTGGTAAAAAAACATACATTTTTAAAACATACATTTTTAAATAAAAGTATCTCTTTAACTTACCATCATGTGTTTTTTAATATTGTATAGCTCTTTAATTTTTATTTTAATTCCTTCATAAGAGGTTTTCTTGTTTAATAAAATAGCGAACCATTTATGAACTGCCCAATGGTCTTCTTGTAAAGTAAGAGCTTGACATATCAAGTCATATGCTTCGTACACTAGCTTCTTTGCTTCCGAATCACTTATTATAAATTTTGATATCTTATACATTGCTCGACTCAATCGCCATAGTATTTCAACATCTTTATCATCCTAAAATATTAATTATAATAATTAGTTCAATTCAATTACTGATATATAATATATAAATAACAATGAATATCACCTTATAATTGTTTAGCAATTTATAAATTTCTGTGTAATCTTCTTGATCAAATAAAACATCAGCTTTGGCCAGAAGTATATCTCTTGTTGTTAAAGAAGATTTGTCCTCATTTTTTCTATTCGCAATACCCCATATGCTGGCAAAGTAAAATGGAATTGTCGGAGTTAAACTTTTATATTTTATTCTATGATTGTATTCCTAATTAATAAATAAATAAAACAATTGTAGTTGAAATACATTTTTATCAAATTAATAAACTTAAAAAATTTAGTATACAATTTTCAAATTAGCAATAACATAATATAATAATCGTTGCTGCATTATTTTACTCATAGCAATTCTTATGAATTTCGAAAACATTGTTACAAAATTATCATTTAAAAAGTAAAAATAATTTAATTTATTTAGCTATTAAAAATAATTATATAAACAGCTTATAATTGGTTATATTAACATTATATTTGATATGGCAATGTGATTGTTTATGGATACTTTGTATATTTGATTTTAATATATTTAATTGTTTCAACGTATGTGCATAATAAAAAATTGCATTTATTGAGAATTAACCTAACATATTATTTATAATCGTTCAATGTATCGATTATCGGTCATATAGAACTCTAATTCACAATGGAAATTTAAATCTAACCTGCATAGGTAATGTGAACAGGATTAGGATATTTCTTATACTATTTACTTTTTATTAAGATAGAATTATTATTAAATAAAGGAAGATGGTTCATATTCCTACATCGATTGTATGGGTAAGTGCGTTGGGTTCTATATCAGGAGCTGCTTACATTATTAAGTAAGTATCATTAATATATTAATAAATATATATAAATAGTGTGTATATATATATATATATATATATATATATATAAATGATTGATGTATTAATTTATTCTTTAATAATCGATATTGTTATTTATTCTGTATTTAATCATAGTAATTTATGCCATATATTTGCAATTAAATTAAAATTATTTTAGGAGTTATTCGCAAGGAGAATTGTATACTGGAGATGAAAAATTAACTAATAAAGTAGTCATTGTCACCGGAGCTAATACTGGTATTGGAAAAGAAGTAGCACATGATTTAGCGAAACGAGATGCAAAAGTTATTATGGCATGTCGTGACTTAAATAAATGTGAGCAGGTATGGAAGTACGTTTTATTAAGTTAACCTCATCAAGATGAAAATATTTTTAAAGATAAAATGAATTTGTTTTTCAGGCAAGGGAAGAAATAGTTTTTAATACCAAAAATAAATATGTTTATTGTAGAGAATGTGATTTATCATCGCAAGAAAGCATTCGAAAATTTGTAACTCGTTTTAAACAAGGTAATATGACTGGTAGAATTTTCAAGATTATAGCATTTTTGATGAAAACATAACTTATAATTTCATTAAAATTAATCTATAACTTTTACGTAGTTATAATATATATATATATACATATGAAAAAGAAACGAAATGGAATAAAATATATTTCAGTTATTTTTGATTGGAAAAGTATTCATAAGTATTCAAAAGTATATATTTTTAAATGTATTTTAATGTATTAAGATAAAGCGAGTTTTGACGACTTTTAATGGATTATTTTGAAAATGAAAAAAAACAATGAAATCAAAAGTTATATGAATTTGTTTATACGTATTTTTATGTACAATAGTGTTTTATAATATGGATATTGATTGTTTAATTTAAAATAAAATTAATTAATTCTCACAGAGCATTCAAATTTACATATTCTTATAAATAATGCTGGCGTGATGAGATGCCCATTAACTTATACAAAAGAAGGAATTGAAATGCAAATTGGAGTTAATCATATGGGCCATTTTCTTTTGACGAATTTGTTACTCGACTCTATTAAGAAATCAGCCCCTGCACGAATTGTAACAGTAACAAGCTTAGCTCATCTGCGAGGAAAAATGAACATATCGGATTTGAATAGCGATAGCAAATATGATCCTGGCGTTGCTTACGCGCAAAGTAAATTAGCAAATGTTCTTTTCACGGTAGAATTATCCAAAAGATTAAAAGGTATCTGACCTATTATACATTCTTATGAAGCGCTCTTTTTTAAGTTCTCCGCATAATAACTCAATGAATTTTAGGTACTGGAGTAACTGCAAATTCCGTACATCCTGGTATTGTAGATACGGAAATTACTAGACATATGGCTTATATTAATAGTAAACTAAGTTTAATTTTCTTAAAACCCTTTTTGTGGCCATTTATAAAGACTCCGAAATATGGAGCACAATCAGTTTTATATACCGCCTTAAGCCCTGAATTAGATAATGTATCTGGCAAATATATAAGGTTGGATAAATAAGTAATTATATTTACTAGTAATTTTATTGTACAAAATATTACAAATTTTTTTATTATAGTAATATGGCTGTGAGTGAAGCATCTAAAGTTATAAATAGAGAAAATGTACTCTCATGGCTGTGGAAGACAAGTGTGTTATGGACGAATTTGGAAGAAACAAGTACGGAATAAAGTATATATGTAGAGACATTTTTATAATAAAGTAGATTTTATTAATTTAACTTTGGCTGACTGTAAATAAAGAGCTGGAAACTTTAAATCAAATGGATGTTTGTCAGTTATATCATTTAGTATTTGATGCTGTCAATACAATTTTTACAGTTTCCACTCATAAGAATTCATTATTGAATAATAAAGTTTGCATAATTCATAATGATTGTATTAAATAATTATGTATTAATAATTCACCCAGGATACTTTACACTCGCATTAAGCAATGCATTCAAATATAAATTTCAAGTAATTAGGAGCATAATTAGGATCCTTGTATAATAATCGCATGTAAAATCTTATACAAAAATTTAATTAATTGAATTAAGAAGAAAGTATCGCTAAAGCTCTGTATATCTTATTAAATCAGCATAAATAGTAATGACCGTTATAAAATTACTGTTTCAAGTGAAAAAAATTATGTGTAATACCTTTTAATAATCTACTCGTGTACTTTATTATACCAATGAGACTTACTTCACTTTCACCGAAACTTTTTATTACTTAAAGCTTTTGCCTAAATTTAAATCATCGATGAAAACATCGCAGTTTCTCCGATTTTAATTACTACATTGAATATTCTATCTTATTCGGAAGCCTGTAATTTAAATATTAATAAATAAATTATGAGATAATTACGTACAATTTCAAATCTAAATATATAAGAAGATTAAATAAGCAGACGAAAGACCGGTGTCCTGTTAAATATTTTACCAAGATAATTCATAATAAAATGCATTTCAAAAACTTTCTCTTTTTAAATAGATGGCAAATAATTTTAGTTAATTATTACTGATTAATATTTAGAAATTTTTTTATCATCGTGAGTCGATCTACCTTGAGAAAAGTTGGACGTGCCAGATAAGATTAAATTTTGATTGAATTTTTCATTCGCAATATTTATACTTAAAAATCTGTTTCAGTTTAGTACAGTTTTCTGACACATATAATTATTGTAAATAATAAGGCAAACTTTTAAAATTTTATTATATAACTAATACTTAAACGCGATTAATTGTGCTAGTTTTAAATGAAAAAATCATTTCTAAATAATTATATAAAATATAATTTTGTAGTTGTTAAAAAATAAGTTATACTATTTAGCCAATAACATTTATTTATGAGTGGGATTGTTTTAAATTGGACGCAATGTTGTTGGACCTTTTACACTTTGATTTTTACAATAGTAGAGTACAAATGATCTCAAGCATTATTAATAATAAATTATTATAAGTATATTTTTCGTAGCTTTGTGCTTTCGTAGAGTTTAGATAAAGTAGAAATCTATTGAGTAAATATCGTATTGAGCGTATGTTATGTTAGATGGCGAATTATTGACAATTTGTAAGTAAAACATAAAGTTAGTATATTGTAATTTTTAATAGCGATATTATTTAATATATTATTTGGATATATATATATAAAAAAAGAAAAAAAAAAAACAATAATAAAAATGACCTTATTAAAGAAAGTTTATTTCTATAATAACGAATTATTTATATAGGAAATATTGTACATGACTTTAAAGAGAATGGTGATATTTAAAAGTAGAGGAATAATAAAATTTATATTGATAATAATTGTAAAATTCAAGCTAAACAAGTATTATTTTTACTTTCATGACATTTTATAATAATAAAAGATGTCTTTGCAGTATCAGAGTTTATTGTAGTAATTAAAATTATTATTAAATTATTATGTACTATAATTATGTTTATTGTAATTGCAATTATTATTAAATGGTAATATAAATATTTTATAAATATAATAATTAATTTAATAAATATTGAATTTTTTAGTTAATTAATAATGACATATTATGAGTTATAATAGTATATGATTAATTCAGCTATAAAACATTATGATTCGTATAATGTATTCATAAAATGACTTGAAGCTATGCATTTTGTTCAGTTTAACTATAATATATTTACTATAAAAGTTTACAATATCAAATTCGCCTTAAGGTAATTGCATTTAAAAATCATATTCCAGACGTTTTATTTAAGATAATAAAAAAACTGTAAATGTCACTACGATAGAAATGCAGTATGTAAGTAAGAATAGAATCTATAATTTTCTCCTCTATGAACTATATTTACCGATAAAGTATTTACATTAAAATACATCACAAAATTATTAACATAATGTTTATTAAAGTGTAAATGTTAATTAACGTATATATATAGTAGGTACTTACATTACACGATTGAATTCCTATTGAGATGAATTTTTCCCATTCTAAGCATCTTTTAAATTTAAAACGACTTATGTAAAATAGTGCTGTAATTTCATACAATTATGAATATTTTTCACTTAGCGTTAAATAAAATTTTTAATTTACAAAAAAATCTATAAGCATATTGGAGCTTGTATTAAAATTTTATCTTTTTAAAGGTAATTTAAATCAAATTCCGGAATGCGGGATGATATACTATTTCATTTTTCTTCTTATATTTTACATGAATTCAGTGAATTTAGTTGCCAATTATCTTTTTCATAAAAAGTCGGCTTAGAGTAAGCGTTTAAGTGAAATACTTATTAATTAAAGTAAACAAATAATAACATTTACTCGATGTTCTTATCGAGGATTTTCATTTTTTAATTGCTTTTAGAGGTAATGTAGAAGATAATAAATGATAATTATAAGTTAATTTAGAATCAATAAAAGCATTTCTTTTTAAGGGAGGCCAAAAATTTTTACTAAAAAAACTCACTTTTTCTTAGACAATTAATTATCACAGAGTAATGGCTCATTAATCATATGGAAAATCATTCCCCCTCCCCCCCCCCAAACAATTCTCTACTGTGCATAAAATAAAAATTGTAATATTCTATTTACGTATCAATTCATTAATTATACAGCACAATTGCAGAATATTCAAGCTAACCAAAATATTAGTAAAATTATTGCAACTATACGATTTCTTAAGTATATTTTATCGATTACGAAAATTCTTTAAAATCTCTTAATCCACAAGTATATAATGGAAATATTTCAGTATAATAATTTTATGCGATACAAATTTTATCTATTATGCATTGTATACTTTTCCAGCATTAAGAATTATTAAATAAAATGCGTAATTATTTAAGTGGAAGGTAAAGATGAATTATTGGCCAATTTCGTTAATACTGGCAAGTGAAATTATGACTTGAATTTACATTGTCAAAATTAGTTTCATTCGGCTTCGTATTAAAAAAAAAAAAAAAAAAAAAAAAAAAAAAATGACATTTTTTCG